CTAAACCCTAAACCCTAAATAAACATTATTGTGATAACCGAAACCTCCAAGAGCTCGCTTATTTGCGGGGTTCATAGGTCCCATAGGTCCAAATAAGCTGCAACTGTCAGTTCTGCTGAGGGTCGTATTATCCCACAAAGTGCAACGCATACACATTCAGCTATTAAGGGTTTAGGGTTTAAGGTTTTAGGGTTGAGGGTTAATTAAGCTCATAAAACCGAGGTGGTCACCAGTGGCTCTTTCTCGGAAGCGTCTGCAGCACATCTCACAGCCGATCCTGTACCGAGCTGCTGTTGCCACCATGCTTAGCATCCCCCCCAAGTGAGCACAGCTCCATCACCCAGGATTGCAGCAAAGGCACCACCAGAAGCTTGAATCTGCTGCACATTCTTCAGCTGCTCTTGGACGGCACTGCTGTCGCCGCCAAAATGGGAAGCACCCCAGGTGACAACAGATCCACCACCCAGAATTGCAGCAAAGGAACCATTAGAAGCTTGGATCTGCTGCACATTCTTCAGCTGATCCTGAACGGCACTGCTGTCGCCGCCAAAGTTAGCATTCCCCCAGGTGACCACAGATCCATCATCCAGAATTGCAGCAAATGCAGAATTAGTAGATTGGATCTGCTGCACGTTCGTCAGCTCATCTTGGACGGCACTGCTGTCGCCACCAGCATGGTAATTGCCCCAGGTGACGACAGATCCATCAACCAAGATTGCAGCGAATGCGTATTTCGAAGCTTGGATCTGCTGCACATTCTTCAGCTGCTCTTGGACGGCACTGCTGTCACCACCAAATTGAGAATTACCCCAGGTGACCACAGATCCATCACTCAGGATTGCAGCGAACGCGCAATTAGAAGCTTGGATCTGCTGCACAGCTCGCAGCTGAGCCCGTACCGCACAGCTGTCGCCACCATAGTCGGCGTTTCCCCAGGTGACCACGGATCCACTACCAAGGATTGCGGCAAAGGCCCGACAAGAGGATTGGATCAGCTGCACATTTTTGAGCTGCGCCTGTACCGCACGGCTGTCGCCACCATGGCAGGCATTGCCCCAGGTGACCACAGTTCCGTCACACAGGATTGCAGCAAATGCCCAGTCGGAAGCTTGGATCTGCTGCACATTCTTCAGCTGCTGCTTCACCGCACGGCTGTCACCACCAGAGTCGGCACTACCCCAGGTGACCACGGATCCATCGCCCAGGATTGCAGCAAATGTAAAATTGGAAGCTTGGATCTGCTGCACATCTCGCAGCTGATCCTGCACCGCACCGTGGTCTCCGCCACAGTCGGCACTCCCCCAGGTGACGACGGACCCATCGCCCAGGATTGCAGCAAATGCGTATTTCGAAGTTTGGATCTGCCGAACATCTCGCAGCTGATCCTGTACAGCGCTGCTGTCGCCACCACAGTATGCCTCACCCCAGGTGTCCACAGATCCGTCACCCAGCAGTGCGGCAAATGCAGATAACTGACCAACTCTGTTGGCTGCAATCTGGACCTGATTCACATGCAGGGTGAGCACGTCTCCACTTATCAACTTCGCTTCTCTGATAGTTTTTGCACCGTCGAGCACCTCGCCAGAAGACTTCCGCAGCTGCCCTCTGCCCTTGACCAGAGCGTTTTGGGCACGCCGCTTCAACGACTCAACAGACGCATCCACCTCCACTTCAAAAGACACACATTTGCCACTCAGTAGGTGCACATTGACAGAAATCGTCATTGCAGGAAAAAGCTGGCAAGACCGAAGACTACGGCTTACTGGATCATATATATATATATATATAATTAATTATTTATACGCCTACACTGGACGTAGATCTTGGTACTGAGCCCCACAGCCTTTGGCAAGACAAGTTCGCCTCAAGCACACTGAATCTGACCAACATCATGCCGTATGGTTCCGTAATATACTTAAACTTTTACAAATTAATTTTACTATAATACACGACTATTACTATACTGAAACATATACCATGCGATAACACACTTCATAGTATACTACACTACACTTTTGCATACCCAGAGGCCAAATTCGACTTCAATCGGTCCCCATATTCAACTCGCATCTCACTTCTAAGCCGTAAACCCTAAGCCTAAACCCTAAACCCTAGACCCTATAAACCCTCAAGCCCAAAGACCGAACCTCGAGGTTCTCCAAATGGCCAGCACTACAGGGGGCTTAGGGGTTTAGGGGTTTAGAGCTAAGGTTTGGGGTTTAGGGGCTTAGGGGTTTGGGGGGTTTAGGGCTTTGGGTTTGGGGTTTAGGGGTTTGCGCGGGTTTACGGGTTTAGGGGTTTGGGGGTTTAGGGGTTTGGGGCTTAGGGTTTGGGGTTTAGGGGTTTAAGGGCTTAGGGGTTTAGGGCTTTGGAGTTTAGGGGATGAGGGGCTTAGTGGTTTAGGGGTTTAGGGCTTGGGGTTTGGGGTTTAGGGGTTTGGGGGTTTAGGGGTTAGGGTTTAGGGCTTAGGGTCTACGGTTTACGGCCTAGGGCACTAGAACTGAGGCCTGCGCTGCAAGACCCGAACAGTCCGCTAAAGGTGCAGAGTTGAGGTGTGAAGATCAAATCATGCCCTACCCTAAAACCTAAACCCTAAACCCTAAACCTAAACCTAAACCCTACACCCTAAACCCTAAACCCTATAAAACCCTAAACCCTAAACTGGTAGCAACCTTTATAGAGACTTGGGCCGTGGCTTTCGTGGACGTAGGCAGTGCTGAGGCACAGCAGACGTACCAGGGCCTGATCAGAAGCACATCGCAACAGAAACCCGAGCATAAGGGTCTTGATAGAAAAAGGGTTTAGGGTTTAGGGTTTAGGGTTTACGATAAGGGTCTTGATTAACAACAAGAGCCGGGCCTTTAAGGGCTGCGGCGAGGGCTTATACGGTGCTGTCTGAGGGCCGGAATGTGTCTTTTTGCAAACCCTAAACCCTAAAC